GGAGTGTGTTACTGAATATGTTAATGCTGTAATGAAACGCTTCTTCTAATGTAGTTATTAAAAATTAAAAAAAATAGTTAAAAAATAAATGGGTCATAATTTTTAAAAGATTTATTTTTGGTTTTATTTATGTGGATGTGGATGTGTATGGGTATGTGCACATGAGTACAGTACCCACAAAAGCGAGAAGAGGGTGACGGAACCCCTGGAGTTCCAGGAGGGTTGTGAGCTGCCTGCTGTTGTTGCTTGGAACCAAACTCAGGTGTCCTAAAAGAGCAGCAAATGCTCTTAACTACTGAGCCAGGCATGCGTGGCGGATTCTGGGGCAGAGCCGAGCCTGGCACGGTGGATTCTGGGGCCTGGCCAAGTCCAGTGCGCACTGAGGATTCTGGGGCAGAGCCCAGCCAGGTTCTAGGCGTGTGTGTCAGCCAGTGCTGAGGGGACAGGGCGCTGGTGAGAGAGCCCTGAGCTAGAGGCCCGCTAGAGTGCGGGAGGCAGCAGCAGAAGCAGTGGTGGGAGCGCTCCCAGGGAATGTCAGAGGCCGCTGAGAAGGAGAAAGAGAGCTGAGCCACAAGGTAGGAGCCCTTCCGTGTTGCAAGCTGGCTGGAGCTGGTTCCGACGCTGGGCCGGCAGTTGGGTCGGCACAGGCCTGGCAGCTCAGGGGGATGAAGGGCAGGAGCCCGGCGGCGGGCGGCTTTCTCCACAGGTGTCAGGCTGGGGTCAGCATAAGGCCTGCTGTCGCGTGCGGGTCCCGGTGGTGGCGGGGTGTGTGGGCCGCCAGGAACAGGTTCCACCTGGAAACGCAAAGGATGGGCACTGTGCCATAGACCCTCTGTTCCCGCCGCGAACTTTGCCTATCTGTATGTGGGCTGGCTCACTTTTCTGGTCGCCCTGACGCTGCCTCTTGGGTCTTGCACATTCCAGTCTGCTCCCGTGGCTGGGAGTGCTGGCTGAGAAGTTGCCTGGCGCCACCTGAGCACTGAGTCTGGTGGCGGAATAGTCCGGGCTGGGGCCGAGAGGCTGACTGCTCATCGCCCCAGCCTCCTCCAGGTGTTCCCTAGGTTCCCCACTGTGGAATAGTCCAGGTTGGGGCCGGGGGCGGGGGCGGGGAGAGATGCTGAGCTAAAGTTTGTGTGAGAATGATGGCTGGCGACCTGGCCCACTGGGCTCAGGGCGTGCGTGTTGGCAGGTGCCAAAGGGATGCAGTTCTGGACAAGCTTGGCCAGAGAAGAGTGAGGGAGGCAGAGGTGGCAGTGGAGTGCTCCCTGGCAATGTCAGCGGATGCAAAGGGAGGAGAGTGCCGTGGCTAGGTAGGAGCCCTCAGGAGTCCGGGGCTGGAGCCAGCTCCAGGGCTCTGGCCTGGCAGCTGGGTCTAGATCATTTGCTCCTGGTTTCTAAGTATAATCAGCAAACTGTTATCAGTGTCATAGACCAGTGTAGTGTCTTCTGGAAGGGAAAGCAATCAAGTTATCTTTGGATTAAGTGTTGATGTAGGGCTAGAGAACGTGTGTACTCTTGAGGTGAAACAGTGAAGGTATATTGCCAAATTTACCACATGGAAGCAAGCTGCCTCACTGACAGGGATGGAGAACATGACAGGTATCAGGTCAGGAGTGGTATGTGAGCTACACGCGGCTTGGTAACTTGGTTCAAGAACGAAGATACATCCAGGATGGCTGCTGCAAGAAGAATCCTGCTTGGTTAAGCTTACAGTGAAAAATTCATCTGATCTCTACGCAGGCTAATAGGCAAGTTCAGTAGGGAATAAGGTAGGAAGCCAAACTTCTGCATCTCTAAAGTCCTTGTTGTTAGTAACAGTGCTTCCTTAAATGTTTAATTCACTGCAAGTAATCCGGCTCTGAAGTTTCCTTTGTGAGAAAAATTTAATTACAAACTAAATTTAATAGGCATCTAGTTAGTCTGATTTTCCCTTTTTTCTTGTTTTTGTTCTGGTCATTTGAATTTTTCAAGGAATTTTTCCAGGACTGCTAAATTGCCAAATTTATTGGTGTGAAAATTTCAGAATACTTCCTTTCTATACCTTAATGACTACGATGTCATCCTCTCTTTGACTCAGTATTAACTGTCTGCATTTCCTCTTCTTTTCCTTTGGTCATTTTTCTCAGTTGTTGGTTTATTTTCGGTTTTATTGATCTTTAAAAATTTCTTTGTTTCAGTGTACTTAGGGTTTAATTTTCTCATCTTTTTCTAAGTTTAAGAGGTGAAAACTGCTCTCAATGAATTTAGATAGTTCCACTTTTCCATTAAACACTAAATTTAAGGTAAATGCATTTTCTTCTAAGTACTGCTTTTCTTAAATCATGCAGGTTTTGCTGAGTTGCATATCATTATTATTCCACTGGCAGTATTTTGTAATTTTCCTAGTGACTTCTATGACTCATGGGCTATTTCAAATTGTGCTATTTCATGTCAAACATTTTAACAGGCTACAGATAACCTTCTTTAATGTTTCCAGTTTAGTTCCATTGTAGTTACTGAGAACATTGTGTAATGTTTTAGTTTTGAAATTGATGAAATTTCTTTGATGGTCTATCACGTCCCTTTTTGAAGAACTGTGTGCTCCTGAAGAGAACCTTTATTTTTCTGTTGTTGGATGTACTTTCACGGTGCTGGGAATTGAACACAGGTCTTGCACATGCTGGGCAGATTCTCTACCATTGGGCTACATGCCCATCACTGATGTGTGCACTGTGACTCAACCGAGGGCCGTTGAGTCAAGTTGGTTGTTAGTTTTATTCTCGTATTCATTTCCTTTCCTGACGTGTCTAATTTTTCTGCCTGTTACTGAGAGCTTTGAACCCCCTGCTGTGATGCCCCCGCCTCTCTGTTTTTATGGTTGTAGCTTTGTGCATTTTGAAGCTCTATCTTAGAGGGTACAAATTCAGAATTTTCATGTCTTTCTGATCAAAGTGACACTTTTTGTACTAACGACAAGGGTCCTTTTTGACCTCCTAACCTTGCCGGGTACTGATAAGCCACCATGATTTCCTTCTCTGTGTTGGCTTGTTTGCACATCTTTCTCCATCGTTTCAATCTGCTCTGTCTACCTATGTAGGTGAAACTGATCTCTTCTGGTCACTGTTTACCTGGCTCTCACTTTTAAATGTTGCCCCTTTAACTGGAACAGCCCCTTCACATGTATTGTACTTACTGGTTTTAAGTCAACTATCCATCTTGCTATTTGTTTTCTGCTTTGTGTATCTGTATTTTATTCCTTTTTCTCCTTTCCTGCCTTCTTTAAAGGCAATGGAATGATCTTTAGTATTCCATTTTAATAATTCTACTGGCCCCTTTTAGCTTTACATGTGTGCTGTGTGTGTTTGGCTTAATAAATACTCGGAAAGTTACAATATGAACTCTGAATTGCAGGGGGGGGTTCAAACCAGCGACCCCCATGGAGTGATGATTGGGGATGAGTAAGCATGCCGTTTGCCAGCCCACACCACCCGCATTACCGGGGGACACTCAGACGCAACGGGGACTCTAGTCAGGCAGGGACTCATTTATTGCAGGTGTTACAAAGCTTATAAAGGCACCTGGAACTCCCCCTCCCCCCCGAGGGTGTATCTTAAAGATGGTCATGCACTGATCATGAACTCCTCAGCAGTGCGAAGGTATTCTTCAGACTTTCAACGCAAGCCAGGCTGCGTCCCCAGTAACTTCCTTTCGGACCTATGCATGAATTTATTGCAATACCTTCAGAGTAATATTGTATAACTTCATGTAACATATCAGAACCTTGCCCAGTAAAGCTCCATTTCCCATGACATTACCCTCCACGCTGTTCTGGCACCTACCTTATGATATATTTTAGTATTTACTTATGAGATAAGACCTGTGATAAAATTGCATAATTTTTACTTTAACATTCTTTTTTCAAAAAATATTTTATTCTCTGTGTGTGTGTGTGTGTGTGTGTGTGTGTATGCACTCACACATATGAATGAGTACACTTACGTGTCACAACACCTATGTGGAGGTCTGAGGACAACTTTCTGGAGCTGGTTCTTTCCTGCCACCTTGTGGGTTCCAGGGATTGAATTCAGATCAGTCAGGCTTGGCAAGAAGCGCCCTTACCCACTAAGCAACCCTACCAGCCCCACTTCAGTATTAGTTAGCCTTTCAAATAAGTCAAAGGAAGAACTTAAAGATGTTATATTTTTCATTTGCCACTTTATGTATAATTACTAGTGTGCCTACATTATTTGAGTTTCAATGTTGTTTCTCTCTGGCCTGATAGTCAGAGTAATATTATTGTAAATCTTCTGGTATCAGAATCTTACCATTTTAATTGCTAAAATTTTTTTCAGACTTGTTGGAGAGGAATATTTTTGCTTGAATTATCAGTTGACAGTGTTTAATTCCTTTCAAACTTTAGTCTACCAACCTCTAGTCCTCTCACACCTCTTTCTCTCAACCCCAGACCACCACTTTCTTTTGACAGGGCCATGCGCTATGTAGCCCAGATTAGCCTCAAAGTCCTCATCCTATTGTTTCCAACTATTGGGTGCTCAAATGGGGTCTAATATTTCTGATGAGAAGTTAGTAATGCTAGGTATAATGTTCCTTTCCTGTCTCATCAGTTTGGTCTGTTACAACAAATTATCATAGACTTGTGGCTTAAAATCAAACATTTGTTTCTCAGAGTTTGGGAGATTGAAAAATTCAAGTTCAAAGGGCTGTGATGTCTGCTGTCTAGTGAAGACCTGTTTCTTGGATGAGGGGAGGGAGGGGCAGGCCCAAAGGTGAGAGGGAAGGCCCAGGAGATCTGCTAGCCAGCGGCAGGGTGGAGCTGGGTGCCCCACAGATTCTGGGGTGCCGAGGAGGGTTCAGGGAGTCCGTGGCCAGAGAAGTCAAGATGGTGCCTGAGCAGGGATCGAGTCTGGGTGCGGCACACACACCGGGGATGGGGTGCTGTAGGCCGGCTTTCTGTTCCGTGTTGGGCCTGGACACCGACAATGGTCGTGGTGTGATCCTGGCCAAGCACTTGGATGGAAGGAAGTCACCTAGGCCCAGGTGAAAACAGGGTGCGGTCCACACACCCTGCAGTCTCTTGCCCTGCCAGGCTGCTCCTTCATCCACGAGAGGTTGGGAGGTCTTGCTGTCCTGCAGGACTGCTCCACTGGATTGTTGAGCTCTCCCCAGGTGTCTGTCCTTCCCTGTATGTGTCCGTACACCACCAGGGGCTGCACTGTAATCCTGGTTCCCTGGACATTCCCTTGGGACTGGCTGGGTCAGGCTGGGTGCTTGGTGGGCATGGTCTGCTGTAAACTGCCTCTTCTCACCTTGCCAGGCTTCTTCATCCGTTGGTGGTCTGGAGAACTGGGTGTCCTGCATGATCTTGTGTGGGGCTCCCACCCCTTAGAGTGGTGCTGTTGGGAGTTGGGGGTTTGAAGTTAGGTGGAAGACGGGCCCCAAGGAGGTGGGGTCCCATCTGGTGCCCGGCCAGGGGCTGTGGTACCAGGAGGTGGCATAGGTGTTTTGGCCTCTGTGGAGAGGGCTCATTCTCTCCTTGGGTGGGCCTGGGCTTCTTTTCCTCCTTCTCGGGCCTTCTCTCTCTTCTTTCTTTCATTTTCTTGTGTGTTTTATTTCTTCTTTTTTTTTTTTCATTTTGTGGTTCTTTTGTTTTTCTTGCCCTGAGAGCAACTGGGTCAGGGATGAGCCCGGGCTAATTGCCCAAGCACCTTGCTTTGTTCTTCTTCCCAGGCCCTTGTCGACTGATGCAGAGCCTAGGCTCAGTTCCGTTGAGGGGACTTGCTTGTGATCAGGGATGGGTCCAGGCTGTTTTTCACTGCTTTGTGGGGCCCAGGTTCCGTCTGCTTATTTTGACTGGGTCCTGTTCTGTCGATACTCGATCCGGGCTCCCTGGTGCAAATGGCTGCCCAGGGCTCCTGTGTCTTCCTGGGTGGGCCTAGGCCCCTCTCTTGGAGTCTTTTGCCTGGGTCCTTTGGGTTTTTGCAGCAGGGCTGCTTTGTCCCTTTTATTTTTTTCGGGGACTGGTGTTGTCGGGA